TTTGCTTCTACTTACGAAATTTTCTACTTACAAAATGGCTGCCGGAACGGATTAATTTCGTAAGTAGAGGTACCACTGTACTTTTGACCTCCTTAATAGAGTCCATCCATCTGGCATGTGGCCTTCTTCTCTTCCTACTTCCCTCCACCTTTCCCAGCATTACTGTCTTTTCCAAAGAGTCCTTCCTTCTCATTATGTGCCTGAAGTAAAACAGTCATTTTGGTCTCCAGAGAGATTTCTGGCTTGATCTGCTCTAGGGACTATTTGTTTGTCTTCTTGGCTTTTTTTCCTTAGCATTCTTCTCCAGCATCACATCTCAGATGAATTAATTTCCGTCTTGTCTGGTTTCTTCACTCTCCAGCTCTCACACTCATCCATGGTAATAGGGAATACGACGGCGTGTATGATTCTGACTTTTGTGCTGAGTTGTATATCTTTGCATTTTAGGATCTTTTCTAGTTCTTTCATAGCCATCCTCCCCATTCTTAGTCTTCTTCTGATTTCCTGACTGTAGTCTCTGTTCCTATCAATGTTTGATTCCAGGCATGAAACTCTTTTACTATTTCTATTTCTTCATGTCTAGGGTCCAAAACACATTGCAGAAATAATTCAGTTTGAGACCGCTTTAACTGCCCTGGCTCAGTGCTAGGGAATCCTGGAAACTGTAGTTTATTGTGGCACCAGAGCTCTCTGAGAGAAGCCTCAATGTCTCAAAAAAAATACAGTTCCCAGAGCCAGGGCAGTTAAAGTCATCTCAAACTCGATTATTTCCGCAGTGTGTTTTGGACATAGGTTGAATTTGTGCAGCTTCTCTGTTATTATTTTTGTTTTCTCTATGTTCAACAATAAGCCTGCCTTTGCACTTTCTTCCTTGATCTTCCATAGAAGTTTATCACACGGGGGAAATCCCGTGTGAAAACGGGTCATTAAATTAGAAAAAAACCACAAAAGCGGTCATGATTTCACACAACGTCGCTGTTAAATTGATGTTAAAAGGAGGTTAATCCGAACGAAACCCCCTCATTTACGCCTTTTTTTACTTTCGGAAAAACCCAAAAGTAAAAATGAGGGGTTTTCATTCGGATTAACCTCCTTTTAACAGCGCTTTCACATGTCACACAGGGCAGAACGGGAGAAATCCTGTTCATTAAAAGCTTCCGCTTGTGCAGCTTTTTTCCACTTTAAAGAACAATTTTGCACATGGCTCCCCGTGTGATAAACTCCTTAGTACTTGTTCCAGGTCTGAGAGGTTTTCTGAAAGTATTATGGTGTCATCTGAGTAAGATTGTTGATATCGCTTCCTCCTATTTTCCCTCCTTCTTCTGTGTCCAATCCTGCTTTTCTTACAATTTTCTGCATACAAGTTGAACAAGTAGGGTGATAAGATGCACCCTTGTCTGATCTCTTTGCCAGTTGGGAACCTGTTACCACACTACAGGAATTAATGCAATTTGATACCTCTTTAGCTGCCATGACTCCATGCTATGGAATCCTGTGATTCATAGTTCTATCGTGGCAACAGGGATGTCTAACTAGAGAAGGTTAAATATCTCACAAAATGACAAATCCCATGTTACATAGCATAGAGCACTTTAACTGCTGTGGCTCCATCCCATGGAATCCTGGGATTTGTAGATTGATGTGCCAACAGAGCTCTCTGACAGAGAAGGCTAAATATCCCACAAAACTACAAATCCCATAATTCTATAGCATTGAGCTATGGCAGTTAAAAGCAGTATTCAACTGCATATCTAGAGTGGGGTGTGTGCTAAATTGTTATCAAATGAAGCTTTGTTGCCCATTGATGGCACCAGTTGGCGCCATTAACGTGGAGGGCACTTTATGCCCTTACTTGTACCACTGGGATTAGATACCAGACAAGGCTATAGCATACTTTGGCCAAAACTGTGTCCATAAGTGGATCCTTTTTGTTGTTGGCCCCCTCAGAGTTATTCTTTGAAGAGTTTAAATTGTTTTCCCCAACTTGGCATTTTCCAAAGGGCTACCAGTCTCCACTGTTGGCTGGCTGAGGATGGTGAGCTTTGCAAGACATCACATGATGAAAGTGCCAGGTTGGAGAAAGGGGTACTAATAAAGTATGGTGTGTGTGTGTGTGTGTGTGTGTATCGACCTCTGCTGTTAGTAGGGTTGCCAGGTTTCCCTTGAGATCTGGAAAGTTTGTCCCTTATAGGACTGACAGGTATCCCTTATTATAAGGGATATTCCCTGTTTGAGAGTTGGAAAGCTTTTTCTTATATATAACCTGAACAAGATGCCAAAAATTCTCATACTTGGGACTTTAGAATCCTAGAGTTGGAAGATACCCAAGGGCCATCCAATCCAACCCCATTCTGCCATGCAGGAACACATAATCAAAGCATTCACTTCCTTGAGTCAAATCTCTAAATCATGCGATTTGTGAATGTGGACAATATGTTAATCTTATAGGGAAATATATGGTTCAGTTAACTGAAATTGATACAGGTATACATAAATTAATTAAGCAGATGTGTTCCTGGGCTCACTTCTTTAACAGAAAATTTGGTACCAGAGGCAGACATAACATATAAAGAATACAGATATGTACATTCCTATACCAAAACAAAGTAACTATGAAAAGGGATCTTGTAGCACCTTTGAGACTAACTGCGTGAAAGAATCAGTATGTAGAGAGATCATGCAACACCTGTGAGACTAAGGGCCTTTGCAGACTGCCAGAAATAGTGCAAATTGAG